AGTGTTAATGGCCATAATTACTTGATTAGCTGTGTGTCCAAAGATGGTTCCAGGGTAGCCCAGTGATAAAATCCCAGTGTGGCCATGTGGCCATCAGGTTTTTTAATGATTGGATCCCAAATTGCCTTTTGATGTCATCCGTCGCTAATTCTACTCTGATCACTTTGGTCTCCTCACTGTCTCTTGGCATGTAAACTGAATCCAACCTCCATATAGTGGCTCTTGCTGTCCTCGTCTCTAAATAAGCTCTTGCACTAATTAGGATCCTTTTAGCTGCAAGTCACAGGAAGTCAATTTAAAGAACAGGCAAGTTTATTGGCTCATGAACAAGAAGTCTAGAGAAAGGTGGGCTTTGGGTTTGGTGGATCCCAGGGGCTTGATCATGAAATCAAGGACCCAAGTGTTCACAGCTTTGGCTTCATCTGAAGTCTAGTTCTCCATGGTCACAGAATGTCTCCAGTAGCACCTGGCATTGAATGCCATCTTCTAGCCAGGGAAGGAAAGGCTGAGTAATAGAATTTCTTTCCAAAATTTGGCAAATTTTTGCTTTTGTCTCCTTGATTGCATCCTGCTCATCCCTGAACAAATCACTGGCAAAAGGGTGGGATGGTCATGTTTGACTGAGATTAATAAGGGCTTATCACTGGATCAGGAGACAATTCCACAAATTATGTTCTTGCTACACAATAGGAAAGAAGAGAAATAGATGTCAGGGAATCAATCCCAATGACCAAAACCTCCTTTTTACTTTTTTATCTTTTAAAAAAATTGTTGTAAAATAGAAGAAACATAATATTTACCATTTTAACCATTTTAGGTGTATAGTTTAGTGGCATTAAATACATTCACATTGTTTTGCAAACATCACCACCATCCATCTCCAGAACTTTTTTCATCTTCCTGAACTAAAATTCCTAAACAACAACTCCTCACTGCCACCAACCCTTGGCAACCATCAGTCTACTCTCTGTCTTCATGAACTTGACTACTCTAGGTACCCCATTTAAAAGGTATCATACAGTATTTGTCCTTTTGTGACTGGCTTATTTCTCTTAGCATAATGTGGGTGTGGTTGAGGTCTTCGCCCCCCCACACCAGCTTGGGAGCCCAGGGTGCTTCTGGCAGTGGCTCAGTTGTTGTCACTGGGCTGGATGTGGAGTTGGGGTGGCATGGCTGAGGCCCTTGGCACCCCCTATCCTGGCTCAGGAGGTCAGGGCACTTGGGGCAGCTGCCTAGAGGTTGTTGCTGGGCTGGATGCAGATGTCGGCAGCCCCAGGTTGGCTGTTGTTGCTTTTTAATAGTTGTAACTTGGTTGATTGTGGGAGAGGGTGATGCTGGGGACTGTCTTTTCTGCCATCTTGATCTGGAAGTCTCTGATAGTGTCATTTGACGCACGAAAAGTTTTTACCTAATTTTCTTTTGTTGCCTGTTTTTTGGTGTCCCTTTAAAACTTTTTTTTGGATCCTACTTAGCCCATTTTCTCTATTAAGGCTTCTCAGATACCAGTGAACACTTTATCATCTATACTCTAACTTGTTTCTAAGTTACTTGTGGTCAGTGACTTATTTTGCAACCTCCTCTCAAATGGTGAGGGCCTTGGAAAGGGTTCACTTAATAAATCTAAATGTACAGAGTGGCAGCAAGTGCTGTTTGCTCAGTTAATAGCTGGTGGGTGTATAGTGAGTGAATGCATCAAGAGTGAAGCCAGTGACACAAGGCAGGTCTCTGTCCACCCGAGGTTATCCATGGCTCTGACCTTCACAGACCAACCAGTGTATGTGAGTTTCTGGGCATCCTCTGGTGGGCCCAGGGAAACTGGGGAGTGTACTGTCCTTTCCCATATATTATAAAGTTGACAGCTGAAGGTGGTGGGTCTCTGAGCCACAGCATGAAAATTGACTTTAGTAGGTCTGTCTTCTCAGCTAGGTAGAGAACTTGCATTCTCAGGTATGCCTGTATTTAAGCAACAGATGCATTCCTAAAATTAACTAAATAACTCATTTGTTTTACCATCATTTGTTCAGCACCTAACAACAATAATTTTAATAATATCTAACATTCAAGAGCTTATAACATGTATATACAGGCACCATGCTAGGTGCTTTAAAAGAATTATTTTTTAATTTCCTCAAAAATTCTGAGATGATATTATTCCGATGATAGGGATTAGGAAACTGAGACTTAAAGAAATTAAATACCTTGCCATGGGTTGTAAATCTAGTAAGGGACAGAGCCGGGATTCATACTCAGGTATAGCTTCCTCCTAGGGTGGATTCCTTATTCGATATTCAGCCAACTATGTGCTAGATGATAGAGATATAAAGGTTAGGTGGGTATCACTGCATGTGTAGTGATGGAGATAGACACAGGAGATTAGGGGGACACTACGGAGGGCCACTGACCTTATGTGGCTGTTTAGTGAGTCAGGAAAGTCTTTGTGAGGAAGAAGGGTTGCGCCAAGTCTTAGAGGAAAAGATAGTGTTGGACAAATAGAGTGGACACCCAGATGTTCTGCCAGCACAGCACCACACCCTTTAAGGGAATAGCATCCCTCTTCTCGTGGGAACCTTTCACCAAGGGATTCCTCCACAATCTTATAAGATCCCTGCCTCTGGCTGATTGGTCTAGGGGTAGACACCTACCTAAGTCTAGGCTAATTATAGACTTTGTTTACGATTTTTCAAATCAAAACTGAACAAACATCTATCCTTATCTAGTGGTAGACGTTAAAGAATAAAACCCAGGGGCTATTGGCAGCTGGGCTTCCTGACATGTGGAGGGGTGATCTAGAGCAAGAAAGGGTGAAGTTAGTACACAGAGAGAAAAGGCTATCAGAAAGAATCCTGGTAGCCTGCTTTCTCCCTGGCTTGGTTGTTTACTTATTTCTTGAATAAGCAAGCTCAATCTGTGTTCTTCTGATAATTTTTCCTTTTGCCTCAGTGGCTTCAGTCAGTCTCCATCACTTTCCATCATGAGAGCTCTAATACAGTTACTTAGCAATGGGCATAAATAGGGGACTACAGGAAAGCAAATGTCCTCAACAAAGTATCAGAAGCAAGAAGAGCAAGAGGTGAATGGAGGAAGTCACATATAATTTAGTATTTGTCAGAGTGTAAACATCAAGACAAGAATTGGCAAGAGATGAAGCTAAATACGTAGGCAGAAATCCGATCCTGGGGGACTGGGCATAGCCTGTATAGGACTTTGGACTTGATCCTGTATATATTCTGTTCATTCTGCAGGGTTCTAAATAGGCATTAAATGAAGGTACTGTAAACTGATCTATAATTATTAGTTACTGAGATGTTCTTAACTGGGAATCACAGGCAGACTTCAATTGTCCCTGAACTCTCTGAAATAGCATGAATAATCTGTGCGTGTGTACGGGTTCATTTATTTTCTATTTCCTATTTTTGCTGTAGGAAAGGTCCCTAACATTACTCAGATATTAATGGAGCCCCTGACCCAAAATATGTTATGAACTGCTATTGATATGAACAGGCATTTTTCTGGTATAATTGGCTTCCAAATATCCACGCAAATCTCATTTCCCTTTGCTTTCCTCACAACTCTTAACCAAACTGTTCAACAGAGAGAAAATGCTCAAAAACTGTTGGATTGGACACTGCCTTAAGAAGTGATTCTTCTTTGGGATCAGAGAAAGATGCAAAAGAGATGATACAGACTTGGTTATTTATAGAGACTTTAACCTGGAATATTGGATATGACCTTTCTCCTGTTCTTAGCTTGGGCAGCCAGACCGGACCTACAGGCTCTCGGAGGTCGCACCCGGGGCACCGCTGTTGTCCACGGAAGGCAACTGCTACCTATGCAACTAACTGCAAGTATCCTTGTCCTTCCACCTGCAGGTGGAGCGACTACAAGTCCCGGCGTGCGCCGCGCCCAGAGCAGGGGCGGGGCGGATCTCCGCAGTGACGTCACCGTCCCGGGGCGGGCCGGGGG